AGTATTGGACACTCACAGAAGCACAAGCAGGCAGGAAAAGCTGCCCCAGAAGGGACAGGCTTGCTCAGAGGCATGGTTGCAGGCTGGTGGCCTTAGGAGAGTGGCCTGCACCGAGGGAGGTCAGTGCAGAGAAGTCCCGGCATGGTACAGGTCAAGGCAGGCAGGAGGCTGCTGCCTTGCAGAGGGAGAGAGTGGGTGAAAAGAAGCACCTGCATAGTAACAGATGGGCAGAGGTCTGCTGCCCCATGCTGGTGCAGAGACTGCACTCACAGCTTCTCTTTGGGAGGGGCTCACTCCTTGTGAGACTAGGTTTGTGGATTTTGAATAGAATCTGAAAGGGACAGGAGACCCCATGATGGGCTCAATCTCCCTATCTTTATCTTTCATCTGGGTCTGTGATAGACACAACCTACAGCAGCCTGCTACCTGCTTTGATGATGGGCTCAATCTCCCTATCTTTATCTTTCACCTGGGTCTGTGATAGACACCACCTACAGCAGCCTGCTACCTGCTTTGATCGTATGTTTTGTAACTTAGGCATTGGCATATAAGGATCTTGGTTTCTCTAGCTGGGTCAGTGGTTGTGCTCATCCCTTCTACCCGACTCCTTGTGTGAGTCAGTCTGCGATGCCTCCTTACTATCGCTTCTTCCATGAAAGGCAGTCCTGGCACACCACCACTTTACCTTTAGTTCTGCAGCTTTATTGGGTCAAGGCGACTAAGGACAAGGCCTAGGGCTCCTCTCTTCCAGGAAGCCCTCCCAGATTCACCTGGGACCTCTGCGGGTGATACCCCGAGGAAAGGGTGAACCAGAGCTAACTTGCCTTGCCCAAAGTTACGATTTCTTTAGAGAACTTGTCTTATCATTGAGCAGAGAGTGATCAAAGGGGAAAACAAAAACTTTTTTTAGAGAACTCGAGACCACAGACTGACTCTCATTCAAACTTGTAGCCTAAAACCATGTAACCTGTCAAGGTCAAGGAACATTTATTTCCAGCTTGGTTTAATATGGTCCTCAGGTAATGCCTGTAGAAACCTGGTAGAAGTACATTGACATCCTTTTTCAAGGAAGGCATCTTCATCCTAGGCCTTTGGAAATGACCACAAATGGTTTTTTCAAGGACATTAAGCACCACAGATAAACAGGCATACAAGAAAGCAAAGCCAGTGGTAATAAAGACTTAGAGAAGCATCTGTGTTTAAGATAACCCTGTATTAGCGGTTACTTTTTCTTTGTGAAGTGATTGTAAAAAGCTAGATGCTAAATACTTTATTCTGAGCTTTTGATAGTGCAGTTTTCTTGGCTGAATGAAATCACTGGAATTAATGATCTCATTGATTTTCATTTTCCAATTGCATATTAGCCTGAGGACATTCCATTTGTCTTCATAAGTTTTGTAATTTAACAAATCTGTTCTAATGACAGTGGAAAATGTAGTGTTAGGATTTGCTGATGTCATCTGTGACAAACTGTTCTGGAGGATTCAGAGTATAGGTAAAAATTGAGATTTCTTTTATGTAGTATTCAGGTATTTTATTTCAGGAATTGCTGGATTGAGCACATAACCTAAATGTTTTGTCATGGCTTAAGAGGCAGTAAGTCAACAGATCCCACCTCCCCCAATCCAGATTTTGCCTGCTCAGGTTGATTTTTGTGTGTATATATCTGTTTTTTTCAGTACTTAATAAATGCAACACATGGAGTTCTTATTAACGAAGAGTTGTCTAGTAGCTACGCTTTTTACATAGCTCAGTTATTTGGTCATTTTTTTACTTAAATACTATCCAGGAGATTTTTTCCTTTAACTTGAAAGGCTAGAAACAAAAGTATGTGAGATAGCTACAGTGTGTGAAAAGCATTCTTTCCTAGACTAGTCCTTGCTATATTCAGTTGAAGTATCTGAACTATCCTAGGAACTTGAGACATGCACGCAGTCACTTAGTACTCGCTACTCAGAGATACCAGCCAGCTGCAATCAGCATACCTTGTTTAGAGAATCTTGAGGGATATTTCTTTACTGACTAACTGCCCATTTCATGTGTGTGTGGTTTATTTTCAGGAAATGCAGACAGAAAACATTGTAAATTCAAGCCAGATCCCAACATCCCTTCACCATTCAGTGCTGTCAACGAGGACTATATTGGAAGTGGGTGGTCAAGAGGACACATGGCTCCAGCAGGAAATAACAAATTTTCATCTGTAGGCACATTAGGGGACTGAGAGGGGGGAGGAGGGAAATAGGGGATGGTACTGTGTGTACTCTGGAATTTGGAGATTAAAATCCTAGGAACCAAACCGTAATCATTGAGAATTTCCACATACTTTTACATTTCATGACTTGAATTACTTTCTTAGCTCAGATGCTGAAATGTATTTAAACAGGTTGAATGGGGAAAATGAAGTGCTTTTGTTAAAGGGACTTAGAAAACCATTTGGAGCTAAAGTTACTCATTTTTACTTTGAAAAATTTCAAATCTGTAGAACAGTTAAAAAGTGTAGCAAATACATTTTGACACACACACATGCATGTTTTTTTAAATACTGACAATAAAATTCCAGATACTTATTCCTAAATGGATTGCTTAGGAGATAGTATAATCCAAGTATGTATATGTGTGTGTGTGAATGAAACAATTGTATTATATAGGAAATATGTATAAGTGCATTTTTGTATATAATAACATCTAACATGCAATTCATGTTCATATTTGCCAGGTTGTCCCAATTAAGTCCTTTAAAGTTTATGTTGATTCAGTATCATTCATGAGTCACATATTACATTTAGTTGTCATCTCTCTCTAGTGTCTTAAACTAGAATAATTTCTTGCCAAAAAATGACATAAAATGTCTTATAACTTTGATATTTACTGCATGAACTGTTGTTCATTATTAAGATAGTGGTTCTCAATTGTGGGTACACATCTGAGAGTTCTCAAAAACGCTGATGGCCAGACATGTATCCCAGATCACTTAAATTAGACACCTAGGAGGTGGAACCCAGCTATCAATATCCCTGGGTCGTTGCAATGTACATTCAAGATTGAGAGCCACATCCTGAAAAGGAGGTAGTATTGGTAGTTAGCAGAGGTCAGTGAAAGGAAATATGGTGCTATAGAACCTTGTATTTGTGGGTTGGAAGTGTGAAATGAATGAACATACAGTGGCCGGAAATTCAGAATAACAAGGAATCTTTCTCTGCTGCTATTCAGCGAATGTGGTTATATGTAAGTGACATTCCTGAAAACTCGTTTATTGAAAAACTGTTTAAGCCAGAAACTTAAGACTAGAATTCACCCTTTGACTTTATATTGGAAGCCTAGTTCTTTTTTTTTTTAAAGATTTATTTATGCATGCAGAACTGGAGTACAGGCCAGAGGTGCAGGGGCTGAGAGAGGATTCACCAGAGACAAGAGTGGGGAGCAGAACAGGCAGATTGTCGAAGTACACTGTAGGGGCGAGCAGGGGCCGGTCAGGAGAGGTGTGCCTGGCCATGTGGGATCACCTCCGGTGGGCGGGGGTCGAACTCATGTGGACATGGCTGTAGCTTCTTAGTGCTGTGCTTTAACCTGCTGCGCCGCCAGGGAGGGCCTGGAAACCTAGTTCTAAAGAGTCTGCATGATGTTTTAATTTTATAAATTGTAAAGAGAACAAGCTCACCAGACTCCCAACTTTGTTACAGTCCTTGTTAGCATAATTATTTTTGAACTCTTTCTTGGAATCACTATGGTTTTTATTGATCTAAATAAATAGTCTGCTTTTCTATGTCTGTTATATAAAACCTCTCTCAAATGTGAAGAAATTTCATTACAAGTTACTGGTTTTCTTTCTTTTCACAGAAAGCCATGGCCGAAACCTTTTACCTTTCTAATATTGTGCCTCAGAATTATGATAATAATGCTGGCTATTGGAACAGGTGAGAATTTTTAAACTGGCTCTGTGGAAGTATAGGAATGTACTTGTGTACCTGTGAACTTTCCTGGTTTTCCAAAAAGTATAGGAATGTACTTGTGTACCTGTGAACTTTCCTGGTTTTCCAAAAACACGACTGGAGGTAAGTACTCTAGACCTGTTTTCTTTGCTGTATTTCAGGAGTGTCATTTTCTGGAAGAGAATAAACTTCAACACAGCCACTTTGATCATGTTTGCTTCTTATAAGTTCTGGAGGAAACTAACCAAATGTTACTCCTGTTAATAACGAAAATCTTTTTGAGTAAGCCTAGTGGATACTATTTTTCTGTTATACTTTAAGAGTTTCTGAACTTGTTTTTAAAAAGTTTTGGTATAAGTAAACATAAGCACTAGCCAGCTTTTGATAGACCCTAATTGTGAAATATCTGGGCCTCCTGCATTTTTCTGACACTTGGCGCCAGTTTGTTGAGGGTCTCTTTAAACATTTAAAACTAGTATTGTTTAAAGTTCAGACTGTTGCATATGTTACAGTTTAAATCAGTAAGGAGATCACCCTACACTAAAAAGCTTCAACAGTTATCAGTCATGGCCAATATGTTTCATCTACCATATGTTTTCCCCTACTCAGTACTTTAACTGAGTCACAGATAATATATTTTATCCATCTGTATTTCAGTATAAACTTTTTAAAGATTAGGAGTCTTTTAATAATGTGACCACGGTACCATTATTGCCCCTAAAAAATATAACTATTTAATTCTTTATTACTGATTTTACAGTCAGCATTCCAACGTACTGATTTTTTGTTGTTGTTGACTGGTTCAGAATTCAGACAAGCTGTACATGTAGACTTGGTTGGTATGCTGCTTCAGGCCCTTTTAGTCTATAGAGTTCCCTTCTCACTTTCTTTTTGAATTTCACTTGTAAATTACTTGTTGAAGATCTAGGATATTTATTGTATAGTGTTTCCATATTTCAGTTGATTACACACCTATGGGAGCATTTAGCATTTTCTTTTCCTGGGGGATGTACTGAGGGGAAGAAAACCTTTGCCTTATAATCAAGCATATATTCTGTAAAATGTAATACTGTTGATTTCATCTGTTAAAGAAATTGAGAAATGATGATATGAATTATTACTTCATAATTTTTTTTAATTTACATTTTAAGGATAGATTTATTAGGAAAAGGAGAAAGAAAAAGAGAGGCACCTGCATTGTCACAGGCAGGCAAGAGAGCTACTCACAGATCTGCTACTCAACTGTAGTAGAATTTTTGTAAGTGTGTATTAAAGCTACCAGCTGTTTGTTATCTAGTAAATTAGTGAAAACAGCTTTGAATGATAAACCCCAGTGTTGTAAAGATTGCTATGAAATTGTTATGTCATCTTTTGGATTTTATAGAGTAAATTGGCCAATCCTACTGAAGATACTATTTTTATATATAATCAAATGTGAATAAGATATTTTGTTCAATCAAGTAATTCTATCCCTGGAAACTTCCTGAGGAATTAATACAGTGTCTCTCATGATAAATGTTAGGATAAACCCACTTTTCTCACAATAGAAATGATTAAGTAAGTTATTAAATAAATAGCTTGTTAAAATGATACATAATTCTTGAAAAGTTTGACAATTATGGCATAGAAAAATAGAGGAGAGAACAAAATAGATTTTCAATTCTAAAATGTTCGCTGAATGCACAGACAGGAAAATATAGGTAGGTGTATTAATGTGTATGGTTTTTAAGTTTTTTTGTATAGTAAACAAGCCAGAGAAATCACTGCTTATATGTTTATACTATTTTTGTTATGTTTTGTTTACATTGAGTTCTCACATTCATTGTTTTTGTTATCTTTCCTAGGGACTTAGTGTGGTTTGCTTCTTTTCTATATTTCTGTTCGTAGGTGTTGTACATTTAATTTGTTTTATTTTTCAGAATAGAAATGTACTGTCGAGAACTGACAGAGAGGTTTGAAGATGTTTGGGTGGTATCTGGACCCTTGACCTTACCTCAGACTGGAAGTGATGGGAAAAAAACAGTTAGCTACCAGGTGGGGCCTGGATTTAACATTCAGATTTATGTAATTTGAATGAGATTATGATTTCATTCCATATTCTACTTTTTAATTTCATTTACTGAACATAGGATATAAAAATGGATTAAAAAGCAGCCAGTAACTTGACTTCAGAGAGTTCACAGCTCATAAAGGGAGACAGCTATGTTATTAGTTAATTATATTAATGTGTTATATACTCTAGTAGAAATATATTCATAGATGAAATGGTATTACGAAAGTGACCAACTCTTCGTTTGGGTTGAGAAGATTTGATAAAGCAGACATATTTGGGTCAGATCTTGACAGGTAAGTAAGAGTAAAGGAGGGAAGCATGGGAATTCCAGAAGATGGTACAGTATGAGCACAGGACATTTGTTGTTTGTCCCATAGTTCTGGAATTTAGGTATAGTTTGTAAGGACTGGGCTTACAGCTCAAGACAGTATGGGTGACTCAACTCAGTATGGGACGAGGATTTCTACAATAGGTAGAAACGTCAGTTAATAGAGGACTTTGTGTTCCATCATTAAGACTTTGGTTTTAATTTTTAGATACTGAGAAGTTTTTAAGTATGGAAGTTGTGACTTGTTTGGGTTTAATAAAGACTATTGTGTATGTACTTGTGTAGAGAGATGGTGAGGAGGGGAGTGTTTGAGGGAGAACAGAGGCAGGAAGATGAATTGGAGAATTACTGTAATAGTCTGTGTGAGAACAGACAGGAAACTGATCTCTAGCAGTACAGTGACAACAATAGAGGAACACAGGAAAGAAAGGAAAGAAGCCATGATAACTTTGTGGGCGAGGAAGAGGGTAAATCCAGATTGAAGTGAGTTGAATAAATGGGAGGAAATGCTTCTCTTTTAGAAGTTTGAATTTTATAAGATGAAGTTTTTTTCTTTTACATGCATGATATTTGAAAACTTCATAGAGTGAAGAGAGATTACATATATAAAAGAATATAACTAGGGACATGAGAACTTTAGACACCTAAAGTTGTAGGGGAATTCTTAGGCCAGCCTTCCTTATTGACCACTTACAGAGGTGTATGCCTGAAGGGCAGGTAGGTACTTAATTGTAATTGGTCTTAGAAAAAGGATATAATGTCTTTAAAGTTTGAAAAACAAACTTTGAATAACAGTTTTCACCTCATAAGGTTAAGACCGTTAACCTTGGTACCTAGCGAATGGTAAAAGTCCAGTAAATGTTAGTTGCTGTTGCTATTTCTTTGGAGTCTGACTGAAGAATTGTTAGGAACATCAGATGCCTGAGGAGAGTAATGATGGCCAAAGTATTGAGGTAGAAAAAGTGTGGCCTGGGCCCTCCCTGGTGGCGCAGTGGGTTAAAACACAGCACTGAGAATCTAAAGCCACTTCTGCATGAGTTCGATTCCCACCTGCCCCGGAGGTGACCACATGGTGTGGCAGACCTCTCCTGACCCGCCCGCTGCTCCCCTCAACAGTGTACTTCCTCTATCTGCCTGTTCTGTTCCCCACTCTGTCTCTGGTGAAGCCTCTCACCGCCCCTGAGCCTCTGGCCTTTACCCCAGTTCTGTATGCACAAATAAATTTTTTTTAAAAAAGTGTCTATATTTATAAAAAAAAAAGAAAAGAAAAGAAAAGGTGTGGCCCAAGATTCATTACTCAGACTGTTTATCACTAGCACATCAAGTTAATGAAAGAAACATGGTATCTCAGTATAGCAAAACTTTCAGAAATATAACTCCCCGTGTACTTTAATTACTTTTACAAAGCAGGTTGTGAAATAAAACTACCCAATGCATAAACTGTAAAGTTTTTATAATAGATGCTGACAAAAATCAAAGAATATGCCAGCAACAACCAGGGAATTGCAGGGGAGTCAGGAGAACAGCATCCGTTTAAGTGCGCTGATCCTTCATGTCTCATTGGGGCTGTCAGTGTCCACTATTGCAGGTCAGAAAATGGAAAAATAGAGAAGATTGGGCTTACATGAAATTATGAACTGAATACCAGCTCTTTCCCTTGACAAAACTAGGGAAACAATAACAGACCAATATATAACAAATACAAATGTAATATACTCAGTTATTGAAAGTAAAAATCTTAAATGGGATTGAAGGTAAAGACTAGTTATTAATCAGCTCAGAAGTTAAAAGTGTTAAAAATGTGTAATGATAAACTAAGCAGCTCCACACAGAAAGCAGGGATGACTTGATCCGACTTGGCATGAATTCCCACGGGCGCCATTCACTGGGTGAGGGTAGCACCTTCCTCTTTAGCCTGAGCACGTGTTCTTGAGTTCACCATAGTCCCAGCAGGCCCATTGCGTCCATTTATATTGTTACTTCCTGCCTCGCCTTTGTTGGTCTCTGAGTTTATAATCTTGGGTCTATTGAAAACATAAAACCAGCATTTACAGTATTATGAATGTGTACGCAATGTCTTTGAACCTACAAAGAAGTAAATATAATCTGTATCATTAAGTCTCTGCCACTTGAGTGATAAGTATTACCACAAGCAGAATAAAATTGAGATTGGAAAGTAAAGTAGCTATTTAAAAAAAATTTAATAATATATTTTTTCTAATTCAGATGATTTAAACATATCATACTATTTTTTTTTAAATGGAAATGTGTTGTTTTTTTTTAAAGATTTATTTATGCATACAGAAATGGGGTACAGGCCAGAGGTGCAGGGGCAGTGAGAGGATTCACCAAAGACAGAGTGAGGGGCAGATCAGGCAGATCAACGAAGTACACTGCTGAGAGGAGCAGCGGGCGGGTCAGGAGAGGTCTGTGCGCCATGTGGTCACCTCTGGGGCAGGTGGGAATCGAACTCATGCTGAGGTGGCTTTAGCTTCTCAATGCTGTGCTTTAACCCGCTGTGCCACCAGGGAGGGCCCCAGGAAATGTGTTTCTTTAAGGCATCATTCTTAGAATCCTCTCACTTCTGTTCATATTTGGGCTTCTTGTTTCCTCTTCCTTCTGTCCCCCTTTCTTCCTTTCCCTTCTCTTTTCCTCTCTTCTTCCTCCTTTTATTCAACAGACATTAACTTCCCACCTTGTACCTAGTGCTGTTGTGGGTGCTTCTCAGGCAGCAATAAGTAAGCCTGTATATTCCATGGCGCTGACACAATGGAGGAGATAAACAATAAACAAAATACCATATAGAGAAACAAAACATGGTAAAGAGTTATAGGTGGGGGTTCTCTGGCGCAGGGGGTTAAGTCACAACTCTGAAGCAATCCACAGCCAGGGAGAAGATCCACATGGCGTGGCAGACCTCTCCTGTCTTGCCTTCTGTTCCCTGCTCTGTGTCTGGTGAATCCTCTCACCCCCAACACCTCAGGCCTGTACTCCAGTTCTTATATGCGTAAATAAATCAATCTTGGGGAAAAAAAAAAAAACCAGTTATAGGTGGGAGTGGGGAAGGCTAGGCCATTTGGGAAGTGAGATTAAGCAGAAGCCTAAAGTGAATGGAGGGAGCAGCCTACTGCTATGAAATTTTCTAGTGATAAGATTTAGCTGGGCATGGTCAAGGAGCAGTAAGAGTCTATGACTAGAACATGGTGAGCACTGAGGAGAAAGAGGTAAATTATGGCGGGAGGCAGTGGAAACAAGTCAGGATTATATTGAGATAGACTGCATTTATGGATTTAATTGATGGTGGCTTAATCAGATTTATATTTTTAAAGCTTAATCTGATTGCTGTACATGGGGAACAGAAGAATAGGTGGAAATAGGGAGACTAGTGAACAGGCTAATGGAGAAGTCTCACTGAAAAATTATAACTTGAATAGGATGGTGGTGGAAATGGTGAGAAAAGATCTAATTTAAGATTTGTGTTATAGATAGAATTATGGGCTTCCCTAATGGATTTATTGTAGCATAAAGAGGGAAAAGTCTTAGATTTTCAGTCTGAGATCATACAGACCAGAGGGAAGCTGATTTAGAGGCTAGAAATCAAGGGTGGCATTTTGATTGTATAAAATTGAGATCTGAAGCCCAAGAGGAGTTTAAATGTCAAGGAGAGGCGGGAAGGGGAGATCTGCTTGGGAGTGGTCAGCACACAGATGGTACTTAAGTTATGATGAGATCGGGTAAATGAGGGTAGCCTAGGGTACTTAGATAGTCGGAGGTCAGAAAGAGGAGGCTCTAGCAAAGGCGAGGGCGGGAGGAGCCTTTCAGGTGAGAAGTCAGGAGCGCGTGCTGTCCTGGAAGCCAAGTGAAGAAAGCACTTCAGGAAGAAATGGTTGGTTGAGAAACTGACCACTGGCAGCCTACTCAGCTGTCATTCTGTTTCTTTTCAATATACCCCTCCACTCACCACCTTCTTCTCTACCCACTCCCTTCCTGCATCCCTTTTTATTTGGTGGTGAACGTTCTGAGTTACTGGTTCAGTGAAAATGTCCTGAAGTACTGGCTGTGGAGTCTGCACAAATGATAAACTCTGTCGGGCAGTTTGATGTGCAGGTTTGAGAGCCATTTTGTAGAGTGTCTGGCTTCATCCTCTTGTTGATTGTACACTAATTCTGCCTTGATTTTTGACACCCTTTTGCTTATTAAGACAAGGGGCTATGAACATCTCGACTTAGGCTCCTTCCTCATTATCTAACAATGTAGTCACCTCTGTCTTCCATGTTCCAAGTTCATGGCACTTCTTAGTCTCCTACTACAGTACTTTGTCACTGTTGTTTCCTTGTGATCAGATTCAGTTATGTTTCTGGTGGAACATCACAGAGATGGTCTTGCACACTCCTTAGTGTGTGGTCAGAATACACTTAAGTTTGTCATGCCATTGATGATTTTAACTTTGATTAATTACTTGGTTAAGGCATTGTCCTCCAGATTTCTTCATTGTTAAGTTATAAGTTTTTTCTTTAAATTAATCAGCAGTCTGTGGAAATACTGTGAGAATACTGTAAATATTTTCCTCTTCAAACTTTCACCACTGGCTTTAGAATCCATTGATGAATCCCTTTTTTTTTTTTTTAAAGATGTATATGTATTTATGCATAC